CTGCATTCTCCTGGGCGACTGTGAAAATAGCGAACATGGTTCCGGACTGCCCGGGGATTTTGCGGACGAGGGAGCGGAACTGGAGTCCGGAGGTGGAATGGGTGGCAGTTTGACCTACGCGGCCCGCCAAATCCGGATGAGACAGGTGCACAGCATGGCCGTGCGATCGGGCAGTGCCTACGATACCCTGGAGCGACCCTATCGCCATGATAAATCACGCGGTCGATGGGCCAAATCGGTGGACTTCTACTTCGCCAGCTGCACACTCGCCTTCAGTTCCCTGATTTTCTCCGAGCTCTCCACCTTTGGAATACTTCACGGCGGTTGGCGTAAGTACCCTTAAGCATTCTTAGATCCAGGGAAAAGGTACTTAAAAGTTGTTACCTCTCATAAGAGCAATAAAATATGAGTACACACTTAAAAAACATCATGAATAGAACAAGAAATATACTATACTGACTATTTCTAATTCCTAAAAATTCAGAGTATGAAATATATTCGATCGGTATTCAAAATCTTCAATATGATTTATTTCTTTTTACTTTCTTTTGTTATTTCTGCTTAGATAACAATGTAATACATATACGAAATTTTATTACATTTTATTTAATTATTGAGTTGGTTTTTCCCACTTTGTTGCCATTTCCATATGCTATCAATAAAATTTCAATTAACTAAACCAAAGGTTATCAAGACTGCGTACATGACGGCTTTTTGCGTTGACTTTGAACAGTAATCATATTTCGCAAGTGATAAGGTGAACAGCAGGGGTTGTCATTACCGCAAAAATAAAACAACTTTCCCAGAATCCCAGTCATTAGTCGACCCTAATTATCTCAGAAACTGGTTTTAAAACGATTTGGCTGTTGGTAATCGCCAATTAATTGACTTCATAATTACATTGCTCACCATATTTAAGATAAGTCAAATAATCACAGGGCTCGTCACGGCAAATGAGTGTACTTTGTAGGAAATAGATATTGATATATAATAATTAAGAGTAGTCAGAGTTCAGAATGGGTTTCAATCACTCAGAAAAATATATATGTTTCATATTATTAGGTTATAATCCATGTTTTTATCTGTACAACAGCTATTAATATTTAAAATAAATATTTTATTTTATATTCCCTCTAGTGTTTTTCATAATCGCCTACCTTATGGGAATGTTCTTCTACTCGCTGCCCATATTTTTGATCCAAGCATTTCTGGGACAATTCTCATCTTCTGGATCGATCTCTGCATTTCGTGTGGCGCCCATATTCAAAGGTGGGTAATCTGAAAGAAGTTGGTATCTGTTAATATTCCAACCATTATTGTATACTTTTAGGCATCGGCTACGCCATTCTGCTCCTCAATCTGGGCACTCTAACCTACTATTGTATTGGAGCTGTGGTGCCCCTTATCTACACCGTGAATTCCCTGCATAAGGTGTTACCCTGGATGAGTTGCAACAACACATGGAATACCAAGGAATGTTCCTTGCACGACAACTACGATGAAAATGTGAGTTTGGTGTTAATTTGTATTGTTATGTTTGCGGTTACTTCATGAAGAAGTATGTTTCTAGGACTATAGAGTCGATCCCCATTCCACCGTGGAGTTCTTTAGGTGAGAATGATACAAAGTACTTTAGGTTGAGCTTAAGCTAATGTCTTCACATTCTCTAGATCAACGATTGCCTCTACTCAAGAAGGTTCCAATCCAATGAGCATATCTTGGTCAATGCTCATTGGCGTTTTGGCCATTTGGCTGGTGGTTCTGGCCTTGCTTTATAAGCCTGTGGCTTTTGTAAGTATTTAGGTACTCGTAAACGTCTTTATTTTTAATTTACCTCTAAAAAGTAACAGCATTATTAAGTTTAGTTTTGTACACTTTCAGATTGGTAAAGCCCTGCGATGTTTCTGTATACTGATGTTCGGATTTTTTGTGGCTGTATTTCTATACGTGGTTATTCACGAACAAGTCACGTTTGATACGCTGCAATATTACTGGTTGCCCCAGGTGGATAGCTTAGATAGCATCCTTGCCACGGTCCGCACCGCCCTCCTAATGGCCGGAGTGGCCTTGGGTCCGGGATGGGGCAGTATTATAACCCTGTCGAGCTACAACAACTTCCGCAGCGATGCCGAAAGATTGAGCTTCTGGGTGTGCCTTACTCATATCACGATCGGATTAATGGGACTTCTCTGCTGCAATGTGGCCCACGATCACTTTGAAGGTGGGTATAAACCAGTGGTCGGCAGCGGCCTATCTAGTGAGCATAGGGAAGTGCTCTGCCCATCCTCTGCTCGCTCACGTATAACGTACATGTTCGTGTGACTTCGGCATGGGTCTTCGGGTCATTTTTTTCTCAACTTCGGCTCGCTTTTTTGTTGCTGCGGCAGAGGATCTCAGTGCAAAGCAGAGAAACGTCTCGCTTCAGCACGCCGCGCGCAAACTTCGTGTTTGTTACACTCACACTAATGCAAGGCAAACTTGTGATGGTATGTGTGTGCCGACCACTGGTATAAACCCATTTTCACTGTCTACTCATTATATCCCGATATAACTGGATATATTCTGTATATTTTACAATTTTTAATAACTTTTATAATTTAATTATTTATTTAGACCATGTGGGCATGATGCCATTGCATGTGGATGAGAAGCATCATATGCAGTTTCTGTACCTCTGTTTCTCCTATTTGTTTGGGAGGTTTACGACGACACCAAATCTCTGGTCCTTTCTCTTCTTTGGCATGATATTCTTGTCTGAACTATGTGCCTTGGTAAGTTACACTTCCAATTTTCATATATTTGAATTAATTTATTTTTATATTTAGATAATCCAAATGATGTCTGTCATAACTGCCTTGTTTGATGAGTTCGAGACGATGCGATCGAAAAGAACGATAGTAATATCTTCATTGGTCTTCTGCCTCACGGCCTCCTCAGTTTATTTTTGTACTCAGGTGGGAATGGAGTTAACGAACTATTGAAAGTATTGACTGATTTTGAAATTTGTTTTCCAGTTGGGCTTCAGTCAGCTGACTCAGTTGCCCAATTTGGCGGTGTTTACCCATGTGTTTATCTCGGGAGTGCTCCTGCTGATGACCACTTGGGTTTATGGTCGCGTCCGATTCCAGTGCGATTTGCAGTTTATGCTGGGCAAAACGATCTCAAGTTTCAAAATATTCTTCATACGCTTTGTCACACCCATTTTTCTGGGACTGTGTTTGGTAAGTAGTGGCCTGGAATGAAAGGTAACCCGAATTGAATTTTATAACATCTTCTTGTAGTACCCAAGAGATTGAGTAAATAAGTTTCCGCAGTTAATAATATCCCCTTTTTCTTTCAGTTCCAGCTCACTTATTTATTTTCGCGTGATCGCATCCACGACGTCCTGATTTACATGAGTCAGGGATTGATCATCTTAACGGCCATATCGTATATGGTTTATAAGGTGTGTCGTACGAATGGCGGCTGGCGCCAGCGATTGCAACAGTGCCTCGCACCACATGACTGGCATCCGGTGGATGCGGACAACCGTCGATTTTACGAGGAAATCATGGGCATCTCCGAGATGCTGGTGATCGATGCCAATGCCAATACCACATAGTGCCTAAATATCGAATACTCTTTAGATCAAAACTCAACACTTAAGGCGTCGCCACATGACAAATGAACTGAACTGAACTCACTTTTATTATACACCCATATGTGGTCACACTCACGTACACGGTCACACCAATGCACACACAAAATCCATACTAACACAGACGCACACGAGTACTATATACATATACGGATCAAGTGCTAGTAGTGATCGTTGGATTTTATAATGAAGTTGTACTGATATTTTCCAAATGCTAGCTTTAGTGAACAATAAACTGGTGATATTTAGTAGTTGCCTACTAAAAAGTTCAACAAGCTTCGGCCAAAAAATATTGTTACGAAATAATAAAGTTTTACCTTTTAGCCATGTAATCGATGTTTTTAAGATGGATTTTAAACTAAACGGGAAGTATTTTATTTAAAGTTCACATATATTGGAGATACAATAAATTCATAAAATGTTATTAAGGAGTAGACCAGCGGTCGGAAGTCTTTAATAGGGCGGGCATAGGGAATTGATCTGCTTGCTCTCTGCCGCCACACGCAAAGTGTACATCGGGAGCTGATCATTGATGTGTTTGATGATCTGCCTTGTGCAAAATACTTATACAAACAAAAAACCAATGTCATTGTGTTCTAAACTAAGTAAAGTATTTTTTAACAAGTTTGAAAAAATAGTATAATTTGTTTATTTTTTATTTTGATTGCAATTCGTAGTAACTGTTTAAGAAAATATGTACCTGATACTGTTAAGGTAAAATCAGAATATTGAATCAATCACATTTTATGCTTTATTAGCCAAACCACTTGCAGTGATTCGTCAGTAAACTCTTAATTAGGGCATTATTGAAATCAAGAGATTAAGCGTAAATGTTTTACTCATTTTGATCATTTTGATAAGCTTATAAAGTTTTCCTTCTGTTTGCTTGTCTGCCCATTTTCCGAACACAACAAAAAATTCTAGTTCCCTCATCGCAATGAACTTGACAATGTAAACGAACAAAAGCAAAATGGCGCAGATATGAGAGCTCTGTTAATATAAATTTAAATGAAAATGCCAGAGAAGAAAATTTGTGGAAGACAATGAAAATACCCTAAAAATTGTAATATGTAAAACAAAAAATGTTTTATACTTTTTTGCACATGTAGGCCCTAAAATATATTTATATTTTAAAATAATGCCCGTAGTAAAATAATGCAAATCCAAACTAAATTGAAGAGCAAACATAAATAGCCTAATTTAAAGGGGACTCATCCTTGAGTAGACTTGCTGTCGGTATTGGATTCAGTTCGCCGGCAGTCGTTATACTATTTAATTCGTCTATTCAAAGTAAAACGCTCGCGGATCGTTTGATGCACACAAAATACACAAAAAAACACTTATTAATTTCATAAATTACAATATGGTATAAGAAATTTCGTATGGCACTGGGCAAAAGGCCTTTTCTCCCGATTTGAATCGAGGGAATTGTGAAAAGCCCACTGACTATATATTTGCCTGCATTGGATTAGCTCTAAAACTGGATGTTTTTGATACTACTTATTATACGACCCACGATATGGGCAGTAAGTAATAAAAACGACTAGTGCTATTTCTTTTGTTTGGGTTTTTTTATAGAGCCTCGTTTTTAGGGGCGTTGAGCTGCTGATCAGCATCAAACTTAATACTATATATAGACTTGAGTTTTATAAGTTTGTTGGCACATTTTTTTTCTTTATTAAAAAATAATATTTTATGTAATGCATAAAACAAAAAGGTAAGAACCATGTACAATCATTGCAAATACGTTAATTTTTGGCATACTGGCTTACGAATTTATAGCTAGAGATTATTTTCATGAACAAGATTCATTCAGTTTTACAATAAGTTTTAGACATAAAAGAGGACTAAACTTATATTATTTTTAACGATCTTTCATAGTTCTTGGAATATTGCCGTATTTTGTGCATATGTTTATTTTTTTGGTTCCAAGTATAGTCATGCACTCTTTTATGGGACAGTTCTCCAGCAGCGGCTTTATCTCCGCCTTTCGCCTGTCGCCGTTTTTCAAAGGTAAGTAGACACAGATATTATACGTTTATATTAAAATTTAATTTTAGGCATGGGATATGTGAGCGTTTTTTTGACTCTCTCAATGCTAATTTATTATAGCATTTATGCTGCTCTTCCGCTTTTCTTCATTATACACTCTTTTCGACCCACTCTACCTTGGAGTTGTGAAGACTTAACATCTTGGTTCAATACGACCTCTGGACGATCGACTGTAGGAAATGTGTTTAAAGAAATATCCAAAAAAATAATAACATTTTCTTGAATCTTTAAGATATGTAAAGTTTCGATTAGTGGGGAGTACTCTGAATTCAAAAACAACTCAGGTTATAAAATACTTCATGTACCTTCTACGTTCTTCTTTCTGTAAGTATTATTTCAAATTTTTTCCAAGCGTAAAACAGTTGATCCTTCAGTACTAAAGATTTGCAAGTGTTTTTAACATTAAACATCTTTTCGTTTTAAATTTGTAGGGATCACTTTGACGAGAAAGAGGAATTCCGGGTATTAATAATGACTACGAGCTATCCTGGCCTTTAGTTGGCCTCTTCGCTCTAGTTTGGGCAGTAATTGCAATTATTTTTTATACATTTTCAGAGCCGGCGAAGTTTGGAAAATTTATACGCTACATGGTTATTGGGACACTGATTCTTCTTCTAGTGTGCTTTGTGCGCTTTCTTTTTCTCCCAGGAGGTCTTTCGTGGCTAGGCGAATATATATCTCCAAAACCAGGGAATTGGGCTATAGGGACTGTCTCGTCGTTCCTCATCGCTACACAAGCGTTTGGAGCTGGATGGGGCGGTGTGATAGCCCTGTCCAGTTTCAATAGATTCAAGACCAACATAATGTCGTACAGTTGGATTATTTCTTTTGGACAGATTTTTATCTTCATTATGTTTGGAATGGTTTCCTTTATGCTGGAACAATACTTCAAAGGTATTAACTTTTTTAATTTTTCATATTATTTACTAAAGATAGAACTACTATTTCAGGACTTGTTGAAGTATTTGATAAAACATACGTAAACAATATTTGGCAAATGCTTTTAGGCAGTGCCAGTGCATTATCTACAACGGGTTGGCCAAACCTGTGGACATTTATTTATTATACTACATTGTTAATGGCGGCTGTTATTTCCATAGTAAGTCAGTTTGGTATTATTTTTCATTCACAGTGGAATTAATAATTAAACCAAGGGTCTGAACATAATTGTCAAAGTAAAAAACCCAATTCCCTATGCTAAAATAAAACTGTGAGGAAAACAATAGTGATTGGATCGACTTAAGTTCTCACATATATATTTTCCCTTTCAGACGACTCAAATATTCACTGCATTGCAAAGTTTGTTTGATGAGTTTGAGGAACTCAGAGTAAGAAAACAAAAGGTTACCTTTAGCCTAATTGGTGGTCTTGCAGTGTGTTCCATTTTCTTCTGCACAAATGTAAGAAACTAAAATTAAAATAGGCTCCTAACCAACTTATTAATGTTCAAAATTGAATTAAACTTACTCTTGTTCTATATTTTCCAGCACGGTATTGATTACTTTATTCATTTCGCTATTGATGGCCTTATTTCACACAGTGTGCTCCATTTACTGCTATTACTAGTGATTTTATGGATCTACGGTCGAGAAGGTTTCCAGCGGGATGTTGAGTTTATGTTGGGTCAGCCGTTCGCCTCCTGGAAGATTTACATGCTCCGATTCATAGCTCCAATATTTTTAGTGATTTGTATGGTTTGTCTTAAGTTATTATTTAATTTTTACTTAATACTTGAGTTGATGCTTTTTTACTAGCTGTCAGGAATAAGTTTGTCCATATTGGACCTCACTCTTTTGTCTAAAGTGATCCTTGTGACGTGCATAGTTCTGGTGTGTTTACCAATTCTGGCAATACCTGGCTACGGATTTTACAACCTATCCGAAAGCACTGGCACCTTTTGCGATCACCCTAGACGCACCTGTCGACCCACCGATTGGTATCCGGTTGAGATAGAGCACCGCCAGAAGTACGAGGAAGGAACCACTGAGACCCACCAGCTCTTTGAGGTTATAGAAGATGTAAACTAAGTAGCAATACCAAATTTGTAGTTTTCATGAATGCAGAAATAAATACAAATGTTATAAACGGTTTTCGGTTTCCAACATGAAAAGTGAGTAAAAAAAACCGGATAGTTAATCAAACTTGAGGGTATAAACACACGGTTTTATAGTGTAACCACCTTAAAAATACCTTTCTATAAGGACAAGAAAAACGCTATAATCAATGGCCTGGACTAATAGACACCCGCTACTCAGCTAAAGAGAGTGCAAGAGGGATTATGCTTGCTTGTGGCTAGCGCCCTTAAGAGCTACCTAGCGCCACCTAGTCTATAACACCAGCTAGCCCACAGCGCCCCTAGCGGCTGGTGGTATTTTAGTGAAAACAGCTGATTTGGTGCATGTGGTGAGTAGTCTCGACTGAATTTGTGAAATATTGATTTTTATTTGGTTATAACGTTTTAGTGACGGTTCCGATTTCAAAAACTTTTGGCATGTTGATGGATTTTGGTAATAAGAAAAAACTATCATTTAAGTATTTTCAAAATATTTTTTTAAGTGCTGGGCGCTGGACAGGTTTTAGTGATATGGTCGTTTGTGGGCGTTAGAGTTGGCGTGGCACTCAGCTGAAACAAGCTTTCGTTGCACAAGAAACCAAATAATTTGTATGCCAAGTCGCAACATTCTACCTCTTATAGTTTCCGAGATCTCAGCGTTCATACGGACAGACGGACATGGCTAGATCGACTCGTTTAGTTATCCTGATCAAGAATATATCTACTTTATGGGGTCGGAAACGCTTCCTTCTACCTGTTACATACTTTCCGACGAATCTATTATACCCTTTTACTAAACGTGTAACGGGTATACAAAGAAGAACGTTGGTACTACCTGTGGCAATGCAAGTTCAGGGAGGTTACCCATTTGCAATGCACCTTAGGCATCTAATTGGATTTAAATACGATTTTCAAATTTTGGTACACGGTTGAGAATTATGTCAAAGTGGAACACAGTTTTTATGTGATTCGGAATAAATTTCACTCAATATAGATTTCAATCCGTCTATTTAAGTTAAAATTATTTTTTAGTGGGATGAAATTTCTGTGACGCCCCAGAATATAATAAGTAGTATGAGCATCTCATTTCAGTGCGATGAGCTGAACATCGGCTTGCCGTCGAGATCGGATTCAGTTCGCTAGCATCGGGTCTACATTTTAGTCCGACTATTTAAGGAAAAACGTCAGCGGATCGTCCGCTGTACGCATAATATTACCTTCATAGCCGAGTAAAATTTGTTCGTGCATTTATAAAAAACACCTAATAATCCCAATTAGCAATATGGTATGTGAAACATCATATGGCACTGGGAAAAAGGTATTTTCTCCCGATCTGAATCGAGGGAAGTGGGAAAAACCTACGGACTATATATTTGCCTGCGTAGGATTAGCTATGAAGATGGATGTCTTTGATTTCATGTATTACTTACTTTCGGATATGGGCAGTAAGTAATCAAAATGAATTGCGCTTTTCTTATGTTATATAACAGGGCTAACAAGCTCCAGGGTTAGCTTAATTGTTTTATGGGCGTTACGTTGCTGATAAATTTGAATACCATTACTGAACTAAATTTAGAACTTTATTCTAATGTGTTTATATGCGCTTTATGTCCGTTTGTTAGAAACAACATTGGAAAAAATTTAAAAATTAAGAGATAAGTACAACTCTTTAATTGTTAATTACTTTTAATTGTATAGCTTGAGATTAAGTTCTTAGACGAGACTGTGCAGTTATAATATGAGTTTAAGACCTAAAAGATGACTAAACTAGTATCATTTTAACCAACCTTTCTAGTTCTTGGAATATTGCCGTATTTTGTGTATGTGGTCATTTATTTGGCTCCAATCATATTCATACACTCCTTCATGGGCCAGTTCTCCAGCTGTGGCTTTATCTCCGCCTTTCGCCTGTCGCCTTTTTTCAAAGGTAAGTCTCTAGGAGGAAGGGTAGACAAAGATATTATACGTTTTATATTAAGACTTGATTTTAGGCATGGGATACTTGAGCGTTTTTCTGACTCTCTCAATGCTGAATTATTATAGCATTTACGCTGCTCTTCCGCTATTGTTTATAATAAACTCTTTCCGACCCACTTTACCCTGGAGTTGTGAAGGTTTAAAATCTTGGTTTAATGCGACCTCTGGACGATCAACAGTAGGAAGAACGATTCAAATTAAACAATAAAAAAATTCTTTGTTCTTAAAGATATGCAATGAGACCAATAATGGAGAGCGTTCTAAAATTAAAAACGCTACAGATAAGGAACTTCATGTACCTTCCGTGATTTTTTTTGAGTAAGTAGACAATTAAAATGAATTCCACATTTTATAAATTTATTTAATTTAATTTGTGATCAAAAGAAAATTCAATTGAATACATTTTTATACCCGTTACTCGTAGAGTAAAAGGGTATACTAGATTCGTCGGAAAGTATGTAACAGGCAGAAGGAAGCGTTTCCGACCCCATAAAGTATATATATTCTTGATCAGGATCACTAGCCGAGTCGATCTAGCCATGTCCGTCTGTCCGTCTGTCCGTCTGTCCGTCTGTCCGTCTAACCGTCTGTCCGTCTGTCCGTCTGTCTGTCCGTCCGGATGAACGCTGAGATCTCGGAAACTATGAGAGCTAGGCTATTGAGATTTGGCGTACAGATTCCTGAGCTTCTTACGCAGCGCAAGTTTGTTTCAGTAGACTGCCACGCCCACTCTAACGCCCACAAACCGCCCAAAACTGTAACTCCTACAGTTTTGATGCTAGATAGAAAATTTTAACTGAAATGTATTGTTCTCATCAATACCTATCGATTGACCTAAAAAAAAGTTTGCCACGCCCACTTAAACGCCCACAAACCGCGAAAACCTGTGACGCCCACAATTTGCATGCTAGATAAAAAATTTTAACTGAAATGTATTGGTGTCGTCAATACCAAAAATAATTTTGCCACGCCCACTCTAACGCCCATAACGCTTAAATCTGTCTACCGCCGGTAGGTGGCGCATTTTAATCTCGCTTTGCTGCTTGCATATCTCCATTTCCCTTTGAGTAACGGGTATCTGATAGTCGAGGTACTCGACTATAGCGTTCTTCCTTGTTTTTAATTGACAACAACTCTTCTTAAAAACTATATTTTAAAGTATTTTTTCTTTGATCATAAGCTTAACTTAGTTTATACGCTCCAGAAAAAAAATAATGGCAATTACAAATTTCTCTTAATTTTGTAGCAGTTTCTTTGACGGTTTGCGAGAGAAAGGGGGAATACCGGAAATTGATGATGCATATGAGCTGTCCTGGCATTTTGTGATCCTCTTCGCTCTAGTTTGGGCAGTAATTGCATTTATTTTTCATAAATTTTCGGATACAGCGAAGTTTGGAAAATTTTTACGTTACATGGTTACTTGCACACTGATTCTTCTTTTAGTGTGCTTTGTACGCTTTCTTTTTCTCCCAGGAGATTTATCGTGGCTAGGCAAATATATAGCTCCAAAACCAAATAATTGGGCTTTAGGAACTGCCTCAACATTTTTCATCGCTATACAGGCGTTTGGAGCTGGCTGGGGCAGTGTGATAGCATTGTCCAGCTTTAATGGGTTCAAGACCAACATAATGTCGTACAGTTGGATAATTTCCATTGGACAAATCTTTATTTTCATTACGTTTGGCTTGGTTTCCTGTATGCTGGAACAGCACTTTAGAGGTAATGGCAATTTTTTCAATTCAAAAACTTTCCTAAGCATTATATTCAAAATTTCAGAGCTTGCTGACGCTTCTGATAAACGTGTATTAAACGTTTGGCTGATGTTTTTGTCCAGTGCCAGTGCTTTATCCACAATGGGTTGGCCAAACCTATGGACTATAATTTACTATACTACGTTATTAATGGCTGCTGTTATTTCGATAGTAAGTTGATGTGTCCAAATAAATATTTTAATCTGATTGCAACACTACTAAAATAAACATCTTGAAAATAGAAATTGAGTGATTTAATCAAATTAATAAATTAAATCGCCAAAATTATTTACTTTGGACAGTGCGATTTTCGAGCAATTAGAATTATTTGTAAATGTAAGAAACGTGTTAACTTTTATTTTACGCTTGTTTTCATTATTCAACTCGACTTTCAATTAACCGGTTTTTCCCACCATAGATATAAGTTATAAGTTATTTAAATATTCAAGCAAATATTTTTCATTTCAGTCGACTCAAATATTCACTGTCTTGCAAAGTTTGTTTGACGAGTTCGAGGATCTTAGAGAGAGAAAAAATGAGGTTACCTTTGGCCTTATTGCTGGGCTTGCATTCTGTTCCATTTTCTTTTGCACAAATGTAAGTACTTATTATTTCTCAAGCTCTTAAAAACGGAAAATACCTTTAGCAAGACGAAGTTTAAGTAACCTACAAATTACCCGAATTAAAATAAAATAATTAATTTTTGTTTCATGACTGTTTTCAAACTTCAAACATATTTTTATGATGATAATGCGAATGTTTTGGATTGATAGCTTTGGACTCTGTAGGGTCGAAAATTCTGTTTCACAGTTCTCAAACATTTTAACAAAGATTATAGTATCCTATGCATGAGTATAATAACTTTGGGCTAATCGACTATTTCCCAAACCTATACTTTTTATATTTTCCAGCATGGTATTACATACTTTTGTTCTTTCTATTCTGATGCCGCTATCTCAAACATTTTGCTCCATTTACTGCTTCTTTTCGTGGTTTTGTGGATCTACGGCCAACAACGTTTTCAGCGGGATATTGAGTTTATGTTGGGACAGCCTTTTGCGACCTGGAAGATTTACATACTCCGTTACATAGCTCCATGTATTTTATTGATTTGTATGGTTTGTTATAGACTAATAACTTGTTTTATGTCTGTAAAAGCTTTAATTTATATTTTCATTATTCTAGCCGATAGGAATAGGATGGTCCATAGAAGATCATTCTTACGTCTCAATGGAGTTCCTTGTGATGTGCATTGTTGTGGTGTGGTTACCCACTCTGGCAATACCTGGCTACGGATTTTACATCCTATCCCAAAACACTGGCAGCTTTTGGGAACGCCTTAGACGCACCTGTCGACCCATCGATTGGTATCCGGTTGAGATGGAGCATCGCCAAAAGTACGAAGATACTGTGGGAAACACTGAGGCTCACCAGCTTGTTGAGGTTACCGAGGAGGTGAACTAAGTAATAATATAATGACAATTGTACGAAACAATTGTATCGATAATAACCAAAAAAATAAAAAAATAGAATATAGTAAATAAAAATGCTTTTGTTAAAGTATAAAAATCTTAGTCATTTTATTGCACTATAATTAAAAAGGTCACCCAAAATTCTGAGGACCCCAGCTTTATGTTTTCAGTTTCACTGTCTGATTAAAGTTCTTAAAGGATTAAGTTCCTTCCTAGAGTCTTTAATCAGAACTAACCTTACAAGTTTAACTATCTCAATATAAATACGTTTTAATTATACATATAAATTATGAAAAACTTTTAATAGATTTGAAAGTTCACCGAGGTTATCAAATATAATTACTCTTAATAAATGTTCCTAATAGCCACACACATAATTAAGCAAACTTGATTAGAGGTAGACTAGTAATTGTATAGCTGAATCTGTGTTTATGCTATGCCTATTTCATGAAATCATTTCAAGCAATAAGCAAATTCGTGTTTGCATAAAAACCTTTTCATGTATTCGATAACACTCGAAAGTTGACTATAAATTCAGACCCAATGCATTAAATGCTGAGGCACAGCCTACTTTACTCTAAAGATCTCTATATAAATTGCAAATGATCGACAGTTAAGCTGATCTCATTTTATGAATTTGTGTGTGTTGTGTAAACAGGGACTATTTTTATTTCGTGTGTTGAAAAATGCATGAAAATCATGGCATATATAGTATGAGTCTATCTTTCAATTATCAATATACAGCTCAGTAAAATTGAACGCTTTATTAAATAAAACTTGCCACTGATTGAACGCGTAATAATTGAAATCTACAGCAATGGCGGAAACCTATTATTTGATTTTCCATTGCTCAATGAGTTTTTCCCGGGTTTTGATGACATTGCGGCTGTTTGTCAGCCCAAAATATCAGTTTGCAGTTCTCGCATCGAAATGAACTTGGCAGTGTACGACGATAAGCGAGCGCAGAGAGACAGTCGCAGATATAAGAGCTCTGATAGTGTGCATTTAAAACAAAAAGCTGAGAATACAATTAATGGTCGGAAATGAAAATACCCTTACAGAATTTATAACATTATTTTGGGAAATAATTAATTTTATTTCAACTTAAGAGGCTTAATATTACGATTATGTAAGTATTTGTTTAAAATGTTTGGATTAGAATAATACTCTAATATTAATAAATAATTACAAAAGTAGATACAAATTTATTTACTCGTAAATATATAGTATCTATATTTTCATATTATTCCGCTGAAGATCAAGCCTATATCGCCTGCGATAGGGCATAAGCCTCTGAGTAAAGCGGGATGAGCTAAACATCGGCTTGCCGTTGGGATCGGATTCAGTTCGCCGGCATCGGTTCTACTAATTAGTCCGTCAATTTAAAGTAAAAACGCTGGCGGATCGTTCGCTGTACTCATAATATTACTTCCATCGGCGAGGAAAATCAAATCGTGACCATATAAAAAAACCTTTCGGAAATCCCTCACATCTTTGGTGCCCGGATAATACATATAGTCGTCGCAGCATGGTGTACGAAACATCGTACGGCACTGGGCTAAAGCCCTTTTCTCCCGATCTAAATCGTGGGAAGTGGGAGAAACCCACGGACTATATATTTGCCTGCTTTGGGTTAGCTCTGAAGCTTGATGTTTTTGCAGCCTCGTACTGGTATTTCTTTGAATTGGGCAGTAAGTAATGGAAACGCTCTCTCTGTGTTATAGGGCTGATAAGCTTCTGAGTTAGGCTTATCTTTTTAGGGGCGTTGCGCAGCTAAGACATTTTGCTACCTACTAAGTTGACTTCTGACATGATGACTCAGAAATAATTTTAAATATTTTGTTTGCTAATTTTAGTTCTTGGAATATTGCCGTACTTTGTCTATATGGTGATATATTTAGTTCCCATCATGGTCGTTCACTCCTTTATGGGGCAGTTCTCCAGCAGTGGCTTTATCTCCGCCTTTCGGGTGTCACCTTTCTTTAAAGGTAAGCGAATGAAAATGTTAGACAGATGTTAATATTTACTTATTTAAATTTGATTTTCAGGCATGGGATATGTGAGCGCTTTTCTAACTATCTCAATGCTCATTTACTACAGCATTTTTGCTGCTATTCCGCTACTCTTCATGCTCAATTCTTTTCGGCCCACTTTACCTTGGAGCTGTGAAGGCTTTAAATCGTGGCATAATGCGTCCAGTGGGCAATCAACCGTAAGGAACTTGTAAAAAAATAATGAATTCAAAATAATATATTTTTAAAATTTTAAGATTTGTAACATTACAGAGATTTTTGATGAAAACGTAAACGATACAAATTTTTACAGCACTGCACTTCATGTACCTTCCGTTCTTTACTTTGAGTAAGTATTTTTTAATGAAAACTACATTCATTTAATTTTTAAGATTGCGGTTACTAATAATACACCTAGTTTCAAAATATGAAGTATGAGTACTTATATAAATAGTTCTTACTTTTCAGAAACCACTTCAGTGAAGAAATAGGATATCCGGAGCAGGAATTTGAGCTATCCTGGCATTTTCTGGGTCTTTTCCTTTTGGCTTGGGCGATAATTGGACTTATTTTTTACAAATTCTCGGAAACGGAGAAGTTTGGAAAATTTATACGCTACATGGTGATTGGGACCCTGGTACTTCTTTTAGTGTGCTTTGTGCGCTTCCTCTTTCTCCCCGGAGCTCTTCTGGGGCTAAACAAATATATGACACTAGATTCAGAGCACTTAGCTATGGGAAGTGTCTCGACATTTATAATAGCCCTACAAGCGTTTGGAGCTGGATGGGGCAGCGTAATAGCGCTCTCCAGTTTTAATGGGTTCAAGACTGACATAATGTCGTATAGTTGGATTATTTCCTTTGGACAGATCTTTATTTTCATTATGTTTGGGTTGGTTTCCTTCATGCTGGATCACTATTTCAAAGGTGATTAACTTCTATAATATTTAATATTATCTTGAGCAATCGTCACATTTTACATTTTGTAGAGCTCGGTGATGCTACCACCTTTGTGTTGAAGGATTGGATGTTGTTTTTGTCCGGTGCCTCTGTCATATCAACAATGGGTTGGGCGAATATGTGGACTTTTATTTACTATACTATGTTATTCATGGCTGCTCTTATTGTGATGGTGAGTGAATAATTTATTTCGAAAATATCTATTATTATAAGCTATTATCAATTTAACAACAGAATAGTCATAGTCGGTTATTAAATTTGTCAATATTAATATCAGCAGTGTGAGTAACATTATTTAACAATATTGAGGCATAATTGAATTTCTAACATACATAAGAAATAACTAATTCCACCCTCAACGCACTCACATTTTAAATCAGTTGCTTAATTAATATGAATGCAAATATATGTTAAATTTGGAACTGAACTATTAACTACTGTGAGTTACATCGACATCAATGAACGCTTTGTTTACCGTGCGAAGGTCTCAAACCTTGGTCAAAAAATTCACAATTTCTTCATATGATTTCGACATTCCGTAAATAGTAAGAGAACGACCTTAGACGATAGAAATTAAACAAGCACAATCATGTAATAGATTTGAACTATATTCCTTATATATGTTTTTCATTACAGACGACGCAAATTTTCACAATTCTGCAAAGTTTGTTTGACGAGTTTGAAAAACTAAGAGAGAGAAAGCAGGAGGTAACATTCGGTCTGATTGGTGGCCTTGCATTATGTTCACTTATATTTTGCACGAACGTGAGTACTTGATTTTTAATTTTATTTAAACAATGATTTTTAAACTTTAATATACAAATTTGTACTGACTGTTTTTCGAAAAACACTTTGTATGTACTAATCAGTGTTCTATATTTTCCAGCATGGTATTTCTTTCTTTTTTGCTCTTGGTAGTGATGCCCTTGTCTCACACAGTCTACTTCATCTACTGCTTATTTTGGTGGTTTTGTGGATCTACGGCCGACAACGTTTCCAGCGGGATATTGAGTTTATGTTGGGGCAGCCCTTTGCTTCCTGGAAGGTTTTCATTCTTCGATTCATAGCTCCAATTATTTTAGTGCTTTGTCTGGTTTGTTATGGTTTTTTGTTTCTTGTAGTTCGGTTAAGCTTAAATGTTTTATTTTTTGAATAGCTGGTAGGAGTAGGTTTGACCTTCATCAGCCACTTCTCAGCAGTGATCATTGTGATATCATTTATACTGGTGTGGCTACCAATTCTGGCAATACCTGGCTATGGATTTTACTACCTGTTCCAGAGCACTGGCACCTTCTGCGACCGCTTTAGACGCACCTGTCGACCCACCGATTGGTATCCGGTTGAGATGGAGCACCGCCAGCAGTACGAGGAAGCTGTAGGAAACACTGAGATGACCCACCAGCTTTTCGAAGTTACCGAGGAGGTGAATTAAGCAGTGATATGAATGTACAATTCGTTAAAAATAAATGCGAATGCTCAATGTGCTTTTAAACATTTTTGAATAACTGGAAAGGATTTCAAGGATTTAAGATTTCTTATTTGTAAATATATTTAAAACCGATCAGACACTAGATTTCATACAAATACGCTAATACTTTTTTAAATTTCAATATTTTCACATCTGTGATAGAAAACAAAAAGTAGTAGAACAATATTACTTTTATCAAGCTCAATAATGCAATATTTTTGAATCAAGGCGCCATGTGTTCTTCCTCTTCATGAAGATGAGTCATATTTTTCCTAATCTGGCAACGCTTAATTCTTTTAATTTCTGAGAAATTTAAAAAAAAAAATTAAAAAATTTCAGAAAAAATCAAAAATTATAAAAATCGGAAAATTTATTAAAAAGTTATAGACAAACTCATTAGAGTGTGAGAGGGATGGAGATAATTTCATACAGAAATTCGGCTGCTTACGAAATTTCTGCAGCGCCACCTAGGTTTCACGTTATGTGGCGTTGCGACATCTAGCGCTTATTTACAGAACTTACCAATTATTTTACACACTGGCTCTACATCTACACTACCGCGAAAAGCTTTAAAGCGTACTAAAAACTGTGTACCAGATCGGGAAAATGATGACTCATATTTATGGAAGAGGAAGAACACATGGCGCCTTGATTCAAAAATATTGAATTTTTTAGCTTTATAAAAATTAAAAACAGTCTTATAATCATATAAAAAAATCAAACAAAATAGCAGTAGTTCCTAATAATCTGGTCAATATTTGTACTCATGATTTATTTGAGTAGTATGCATATTTGTATGCATTAAAAATAAATATTTTTTTAATTTAATATCTGCATCATGAGTAAGGGTAAAAAAGCTTCGTCTAGTCAAAATAAGCCTCCTTTGCACATTGTTTTTATTTTTGAGTTTGTTGCGACAACTGAACTGCTGTGAGAATTCAAACATTGCAAGAGCGATCGGCGACTTGAGAAATCAGTTGGCGGTGAGCTTTCAAGCGGGCAACAGGTGATCGCGAGCGTTCCGCGGCAAAGGTGAAAATCGCGTAAAAAAGCAAAAGCGAGTAAAGTCGCTCCAAAAACGCGCACTTCGTCTTGGGCAATCTGCGGTGCTTTTGGTGCTGCTGCAATCGCGAGTGAGAGGGCGATACATATACGTACAGTGGGCGTGCGAGTGAGAGAGAGCAAAGCGCCTGCCCACAGCAATAAAGTTCGACTTGATTTTGGTTTTAATATGTGATGCCAATACACAATTCAACAATCGAGAAAACGTGTTTACATTTAATTTGGCTAACGTGATTCAAAGGAAAAAGCAAAAAATGCGCCTCCAGGGAGCGGACTTGGGATCTATTCCAGTGCTGATCTTAGTCACCGCTTGTTTATTCTACCAAACATCGGCCCAGGGGTTAGTATAACACAGTCACATCACCCCTACGGGTGACACATTGAAAAAGCAAGCGAAAAATGGAAACATATTATAATGCCGCAAAATGACATCACTCCACTCCAGATGTAGTAGTCAGGAAAACAAATGACTTAGACGACGAACTCGACAGATCAGTGTGAATTTCGGGACTCTGCCGACACGCAGATCTGTAATTAACAACATGTAATCAAGAAATTAGCCCTGGGTTTTATTACTGTCATAATAAGCTGACGAGACCGAAACAAGTCTGGAGATGAAATAACCCGAAGCCAACGCAGTTTTTGGAGGCGAATTTGAGCGTGCCTACGCATATTTAACTGGTTAGGGTGATGCAAGGTGGGAAGATGCTAAAAAGGAAATGCATTCCGATGGAAAAGGAAAAAAATTAAAGATTGTGTAATGTCAGTAACATTAGTAGGTATTAAAAAATGTATGGGATATTTTTAGAAATTGGCACTTGGGAAATTATAGGTTTTCTTTGTTATCATTGTAACTTAAATGTTTTTGTGAATACGCAGTTCACTTAGGTCCAATTTAAAATATTATAACTTATTGAAAAAACCGGAAATATTTTTCATTTATTAGGAAAGTCTTTAGAGAAAATTGTTTAACAATTTCTCGAAGTATTACTTACTTCTTAAAAGCAATTATTGTCTTACCAGCTCGATTCACCCTGATGCTGCTGGTTGAGGTGACACATAAACACGGATTGCTACTTGTGTACTCATTTCCGATGGCTCACCTTGAAAGCTGACCATTCGAGGCGATCTTATAATCACTTTGCGAATTTATTCAGCTATGTTTGTATGTAGAGGTTTACCAAGAACTGTGATTGATCGAGTAATGGCAGTTTCACTGGAGGCGTCTACTTCTGGTGCTTTCCTCCTCTTTCTTCTTAAATTCATGATCTGTCATTGAGTTGGCTCGAGTTCAATCTGCTACCATATATGGGGCACTCATTCAAGGCTTGAATTCGCCAGCTCATGTGGGTGAATTTCAATCAATCGAACCCGGATCGAAAAAGAGCGGATCGGCTATGAAAATCACCTGGTTAGATTAGTTTAACACCCCATGGCAGAATCAATCAAGTGGAACTTCGCGACTGCAACTGGAAACTTGAAGCCTGCATTTTGCGGCCAATTTGAGCAAAAGCGAAATTGTTTTTGCCATTTACCTGCTGGCTGAAAACCGTTTTGCGAGACCGACCACCGCCAAGGGAACCTGTTTTTTAGGCTAACAAACGTGATATAAACACAAAAGAAAATTTTTTGGTGGGAACAGGTTAGACCCGACACACCAATTGGAATTAGAACAGGCGGCAAACTGTGAGTTACGCCAAAAGCTGGCACACTTAGGGAGCACTTCATATATTTAGCAATTTGGGACTACCAACTAAATGGATAGCCCGAAACTTAGTAGCAAAACCAGCAGGGTATAAGTAGCGACAAAAACGATTACAAAATAAAAAAGCCAAGTTCCAAGACTAACAAGGCTTGAACAACATTGTTTTATGAATACTTTTTATGGAGAGGTTTCAGTGTTGGGGAGTTTGAGAAAAAGTTCACATTTTTATAAAAGTTACCTAACATCGCTTGGATTTCTATTTCCTAATACAAAGCTACATTCAATTCTTTCTTTTAATCCTCTTCTATAATCCTAGCTTAGTGACTAATGGTATTAAATGTGATTTTAACAATAAAAGCTGATTTTATAATAGCCTAATGAGGTAGCACAAAATTCCCATTATAAAAAACCGTATTTAGATGAGACCCAATGTCTTTGATCATCAGCTGCAATTGTTTGTCTCGGCTGATTCGAAAAGATTCCAAATTCTGCATTACGAAAAAGAGTCAAGAGAAAACCACACAAAAATAGTTATAGCTCGAGCCACTCTGCCGCACTTCCCACAACCCCGACCCGAACCACCAACCACATCCAACCATTTCCGACAAATGCCGCACCGCAGCGATTGATGCTGACCCGAGCGGGGAGTTAAAGTACAATACCCTCTTTCGGGTTGGGGTATTGTCTTCCGTTAGACGCGTGAATGAATAGCGAAGAAAAGATTCAGATAGCATAGCAGCATAGGTGTAATCCACTTATCTACGAACATTAAATCTGAAGCTCTTTTTGTTAGCTTTTTTAGGGCAGTCGTTAGGTGGAGGGGTACTATGTTTTTAAGAAAATTAATAAAGCTGTTACCGAAATTCCAAAACCAAGAAATAATAGTAAGAAATCTATTAATTATAAGCGTTACAATTTAAATTATTATCTACTATTTTTTAATTTCTGTATTTTTTAAACCTAACCCACTAATGCTTACTATACTTTTCTTGTTTTATTTTACAATTTTATTTGATAGCATATTACACATTTTTTTAGGCTTTATTGTTACTTTATTAATTTTACTTATCAATTTATTGTTTAACGCTCATAAAAATATTACAGCCTGTACTCCATTATTGCCCCAAATACATTGCGTCCGAATTCCCAATTTCATGTGGCCGTGAGCTTGCACAATGCTCCTGAATCAGCCACATTCAAAGTGGGGATTCTGGGAAGCTCTTACACGGACTTTAAGACCGTGGAGCTGCGACCCTTTTCCACGCAACTACTGCATTTTGAGGTGGGCCTAAATAAATCTTTACCAAAAGACTTACATTCAACCTAAAACCACCTTTAGATTCCCGCCCTAAAAACAGACCGATACCGTCTTACTGCCGAAGGTCTTGGGGGAGTTCAGTTCACCAACGAGACTCAGCTGCACTTCGAGTCCAAACAACATACGGTTTTGATTCAGACGGACAAGAGCATCTACAAACCGGGGGATCTGGTTCACTACAGAGTGCTCGTTTTGGATGCCAACCTGAAACCCGCTCGTGGCTATGGACGTGTGCATGTGGATATCAAGGATTCGGGTGATAATATTATACGGAGCTACAAGGACATTCGGCTGACCAATTCAATTTACTCGAACGAACTTCGACTGTCGGACTACCCACGTTTTGGGACCTGGTCTGTAGTCGTGGAAGTATCGGAACAAACTCATACACAAACATTCGAGATACTCGATCATATACTTCCCAAATTCGTGGTAGATATAGATACTCCCAAGCATGCTATTTATAAGGATGGAAAAATAGCTGCCACTGTCAGGGCGCAGTAAGTATTACTATATATTTAGCCACCACATTTTTTTAATATATTTATAACCTTTTATTTACTAGCTATGCATTCGGTCAGCCAATTGTGGGTGAGGCCACCCTTTCCATATACCCTACTTTCTTTGGCTCGCTCCAACCTTTTGTTAATGATCTCATCACTCGAAAAGTTGTGCCCATTGATGGCAATGCCTACTTTGAGTTCGATATTGAAAATGAGTTGCATCTGAAGCAGGATTACGAGAGACAGTATCTTTTGGATGCCCTGGTTGAGGAGAAGTCCACTGGTTCGGTGCAAAACTATTCAACAGTTTTGACCCTGCACTTAAATCACTTCCGCGTGGAGGCTCTCAAAGTGCCCAGTTACTATATTCCTGGAG